ACGAAAGTCGTAGAATATGTTAAATGAGAGTTGAAGATCTCATTAATAAGAACTCAACGATAAAAAGACAGACGAAAACGGAGTCTGTATGAAGAAGTTACGAATTTTACGTGGACATTTAACAGTGTAATCTTCTCATACTATTAAATTTAAAATCGGTCGAGAATTAGCCGATGGAGTCAAAAGGAAAGTTGTAGATCTTGTCTTTACCTACGCGTGGATATAAAGAACGTCAAAAACGGAGTTCGTATGCGAAAGTTATGAATTTTTAAAGATTTGTTGTTTTACCTGCGTCCGGCGCCACGTGTCAGCACCAGACTTCACCTTGGAGCCTACGCAAGGCTCACGACGTGAGCACCCTTTCTCACGACGTGAATCGGCCCAGACAGCCTATAAATAGAGGCGTAAATCACCCCCAAAACTAACACCTTTCATACTCTTTCTCTCCCATTACCCCAAACCCTCTTCCCCCTTCCCTAGCACCTCCTAGGTGTTAGAGGCGAGTCCCGGAGCGCCAGAAGGCTCCGAGAAGAAGAGCTTTCGGCTCGGAAGTTCTACCCCTGCAGAGCCCGGCTCCTAGCCAAACCCCTGATAAGTGAGATATGCTTACCCTACCTTAAGTATAGCTTATGTTTAAATATAGTAATGTTATTAGAACCTTATAATAGTAATAATAGCTAGACTATTAATTAGTCGCGGTTAACGTCAGACTAAAATCTAGTGGTATTGATACTAGGTTTTGTCAAGAGAAAATTGTTTTAAGATAATGAAGTGCTGTCCGAGTACCGAGTCACCACCTTACCAGGTGAGTGCATAGTCACTTTCATCTTACACATAGATATGAAGTATTTAATATAAACTACGTGCTATGTGTGCATATTGTCTGAATACTTGCTGTCTATGCTGATGAAAGATTTTTATACATGTTTTAAATGATTTAAACTGTATATGTATTTTATATCTACAAAAATGTTGGGGTAAAACATGGGTAGATGTAATAGACGATGTGTGATAAAATGATGAGAGGCCTCGATGTTGTTGTTGTTGATTCTGTCATCTAGCGGAGTATGGATGACGACCACAGACTCTTTTAGACAGTCCAGTGGAACGCTAGCAGGCTCGCAACCTGTAGGTGTTTGTGAACGATGTGTTCACCGGTGTACTCCATCCCCCCTCATGGTTGCCTTAAGGACATTTATTGCTGAGGAATCCCCTCAGCAGTACTGTCCATCCCGATGATGATCCTTAGGCTAGGTCTCTTGTGATAGGTGTTTAGGGACATAAAGTGAGGATAACGGGGAACAAGTAATCGGGTTATTGTTGGTTGTTGAAATTAAATAACTTATTTATTGTGGGTTGAAAACCCTATGTGCTCACCAGGGTCCCAAGCCTGACCCACTTAGTTTCATGTATTACAGGTAGTGGCGCTCGAGCATAGATGTGATGTTTTGGATGAGGAATTACGGATATAGGCCTGTAGATATGAATAAATGTAGTAAGGCTTATATTGTACTGTTTATGCTTTTGATCTTTATCGAGCATGACATCCCGAGGTTTTTAATGAAATACATTTCTACGGAAATGCTTTGATAAATCTTTATCATATTTTATTATGGGAACAAATTCCGCAACACTTTTATTTAAAATGTTACTCTGATTTTTTAAAACAAAGCATAAACAAAATCGGTCTTTTCTGGCCGTGAAAATGGGGATGTCACAGTACCCGTTGTTTAGGCTAGCCGAAACCAACCGTTTCCATTCGATCCACTTCTATGTTTGGCGTTGGTTTTTTCCTTTGCACGTGTCATTTCTGCATGAGTCCAATTGTTCATAGCTTCCACGATTCCTATATTCCTTCTTACTCATCAAGCCTTGATTTCATGTTTGCTTTTCCCTTCTAACTAGTTCTATTTTTCGATTAGGGCTCCACTTCACTGATTTTCTCTACCGATTACTTAGTTCCTCGATTTTCCGTCTTCTTCAAAGACCGCCAGAAACCCTTTTCCCCATTCCTTCCTGTGGTACTAAAAAATGTTATTTCTCTTTACATACGACTATTGCTCTGTTTATTGAATCCCTAAATCGATTGAAGGAATGAAAGGTATGCCTGAAGAATCGAAGATCATTTGAAGCGTTTTGGTGAGCGACAACAAGTTCATTCCTCCGCACACCACTCGAAGCTTCGTGTGGATGTGTTTCTCTCCCAATTTCATTTGTGTTTGACTTCCAACCTCTTGATGATGGTATACATGGTGGTGGTGATTGTAAGGTTGTTGAAAACCCGAGTGGAATCTCACTGTTCCACATGAAAGGTATTAACACCGCCGAAGCAGTCGATGTTAATTGCCTGGTCCAACACCATTTCCACCGCCATCTCCATTTTTTTGTTGTCGGTTGTTGTTTGACGCCATGGAATACGAAATTGAGGTACTTTGTTTTCAAGTACTTTTCTTTTCCCGTTTTCTTTTTGTTGATTGATCAAATTTTCCCATTGGTATTAAGTATTGACCTTGGAACCACATATTATTCTTCCCATGTTTTTTTTTTCACTGATTTTGGAGTGCGACACAGAGAAAGATTAAGCAACAATATGATCCTACAAGTACATTCATAACCACTAAATCCCTAATTGTTTTTGGATCTTGTAATGATTTTTTAATTTTTCTGTACTGGAAGGCTAGATGAGGGACACCATTGTCATATGCTAATTTAGTGTATATGTAAGCTTAATTTATTCCATGTTGCATTTGTTTATTTCACTTGGTTTATTTTCCCTGGGAAGATGGAGAAGATGAAATTTTTTAGCTTCGTGTATGTCCTACCATCTGCTTATAATCCTAAGTTGTAACATCCTTATCTGACACGTATCACAATATTGTCCGCTTTAGGCTCCTGACAAGAAAACTTTCTAGGGGGCCACCCATCCATTAATTGCTCTCGCCTGGACACGCTTAACTTCATAGTTCTTATGGGATCTGCTGTCCTCACGAATTTAAAACACGTTGTGACAAGGAAGGTATCCACAACCATAATAAGGAAATGTTTCGTTCCCCTTCCAAGCCGATGTGAGATCAGGTGCAACCCACATTCACCCACCATTATAGGGTTCGACGTCCCTGTCGAACACATCAACCCGTGCCCCAACTTTGATACCAACTTATAATATCCCAAAAATACCGAATAAAAATTTCGTTTTAAATAAGTCAAAACCATTCAATTATTGTTCCAAAAGACGATCAGAGTCAAAGTATTCTTAAAACATCAGATTAATTCATAAACACTCAGTACAGAATAAATCTCAAGGGGATGCAGTGCGATCAAGCTGGGCCATTCCTTTTGAAACCAGAAGTACATGATACATTTTAAACATAAACAGTAAGCACAAAGCTTAGTGAGTTCCCCAAAATACCATACATCAAACACGAACGGGCCCAACCCAACATACATTGCTTTGGGCCCAGGCCATATGCCCATATCATACATAACCGGGCCCAACCCATAACATATATAATCGGGCCCAACCCATACCATAATTAATCGCGTCCAACCCATAACATACATAATCGTGCTCAACCCATAACATACATAATCGGGTCTAACCCATATAATCTGGTCCATCCCATAACATACATAATCAGGCATATCCCATATAAAACATTCAAACACATTTAAGAGTAACAAAGAGAGCTAGCATCCTACAAACATAATCCAGTGGGCCAGTATTGGTGCCTTTAACCCACGAGTACAGTGAAGAGACTCACCTCGATTGGTGATGTGTGCATAGTTAACTACATATTTAATGCATATTTCTTATACTTTTAGCTACACTTATGCTTAATATGGAACAAAAGATACTTATTATGTTAAAAATATGTTTTGTAGCGGCGAAGACTTGCTTGGGATAAAAAGGGAGCATATGAGGAGCTGGAAGCAGGAAACAGGAGCTAAAACAAAAGAAGAAAAGAATATGTCTGAAGACCACGTCGTGGTGATCTAACCGCAACGTAGTGATTGGAATATCCGCGAACCACATGTTGACTTGGCAGACACGATATTTATTCGAAGACCACGTTGTGGGTTAACCGTGACGTGGTGGCCAGATTTCCACAATTATAGACATTAGGTCGAAATCAGAAGCATGCATTCGGTTTTCAGAGGTTAATTGCGACTAAGAACCCATAGAAAACAAGAAGAAGATTGAAATATTAAGTGAAGCTCAATATTGAAGAAGATTTAGAAGGAATTCAACATTGATCGGGTCCGATGATGGGCGGGGCCCATTATGTGTTTATTATGTATGGTATGTGGTATTTTGGGGAACTCACTAAGCTTTGTGCTTACGGTTTTCACTTTATGTTTCAGGTACTTCTGTTTTCAAAGGGAAGAGCTTGGGATGATTGCAGAGCACACACCACATGTTTCCGCATTCTGTGATTTACTTTGATAACGATGATGTATTGATAAAACTTTGATTACCTTGGTTTTATGAAGATGATACGATTTACTATTTTAGTAATTTAAAAATGGAAATTTTTGGGTCTTATTATTGGGATGTTTCAATTAGCGACGTAATCAACGAGGGAATTTTTTGTTTTAGCAACAGAATTAGCGACCGGATATCTTGTCGCAAAATGTTCTTGAAAAAACTAATGTCTGTCGCAAATCTTTCGCTGACTAGATAATAACGACAACTTTAACGATCGATTATTATGCCGCAAAGGTTCCTAACACTGTTCCGATCTGTCTTAATTCCGTCCCAGATCCGTCGCTGAATCATTTACATTAACAATAGTACCTCTCAGTTGATTATTTATCACTATTCTATAATCAAAATTCACAATTTAAAATCAAATTTTATGTTACAAAGCTAAATAAGATATTCATATTCGATTTCAAAACATTAAATTCGACTACCAAAATGAACATTAATATTCGATTTTAAAACATTAAAATTCGACTACCAAAATGAAGATTAATATTCAATTTTAAAACATTAAAATTCGACTACCAAACGGAATATACATACTCGATTTCAAAGTATCCAGACCAAGTCACAAAAAGTCAAAAGTGCCAACGTCTAATTAGAGCTATTTCCTTGGGCGAGCTTTAGTATTTCGTTATACATCTTTGCAATTTCTTGTTTCTGTTCCTCAATTTCTGCATGTTCGGCAAAAAACTTTTGCTTCATTTCTTCATGTTCCGACTTAAGTTCTCCATTCATCTCGCCACGGATTCGATCCACAATGACCTACGAAGAAGATTAAGAAATATTAACTTAGATGACATGAACAATACCAATCGGTATAAAAACAAATAAAAACAACTAAATACAAGCAACACTAGCAAGAACCTACAACACTTTTAAGATGAACCAACCAAGAATAGCATTGTACTTTCAAGCAGTAAAATAGAAGAACTGGTCAACAATATACTTTCAAGTTGAACCAAGAATAGCATTGTACTTTCAAGGAGGAAAACAGTTAAAGGTCCACATTATACTTTAAAATTGCAAACATTACTAAGTTCAAACATTACTAAGTGCTGCCACAGTGCCTCACGGTTAATCAAGTCAACATTCCTCCATGAGCTCCGTGGTCCATTAAACATCGTCTTCAATGTAGAAGTGACCGCTCGAATAGCTTCAGGACTTGTAAATCTATAATAAAAAAAAAATTAACACCAATAACATTAGTATCATACTTAACATCATAACTTTGTTTGAATACATATATACATAATGTCCAACAGAATTGAGGCTCATCTCCCTCGATGACGGGTCGATAGGAATTTGCGCCAATACATTTGATCCTCTAACCTTTTGAGATGAATCAACAGACTGATCAACATAATTAGATCTCGGACTTGGTGTAGCATGCATGTTTGTTTGTTGTATTTGAAAAGAATCATTGGTTGACTGAGAGCTGTTTATATATCTACAAGAACCACTACGAGCACCACCACGAGCACTATCATGAACACCACGCCGCGCCATTTGAAAAACTAAAACAAAAAAAATAGATTTGCTTTAGTGACCACAAGTGTTTCCAAAATTAACATTGTTCATGCATCAAATTCATTCAAATTTAACAGGAGTTTGCAAAAAAAAAGAGTTCTTCTTCCCGATTATATGTAAAATAATCAGTATGGTCCATTGCATCCATCACCATGCTCGTGCACCCATCCAACTCATCATTTTCCATTGAGTGAAGAGGTTACACTTCATGTTGAAATGTTGTAGTACTTTCACCATGTGCCCACCAAGTTGTATAATTAAGGGTGAACCCGTATTGTAACAGGTGAAGCTTTACACCATCTTTTCTCTTATAGGGAATATTATTGCATTTACTAAAAGTACATTTGATACAATCCTTATCGACGGTAGATTCGTTAGAAAAAGCAACATCCAAAAAATAGTCAACAGATGTAGATGTCTTATGTGATGCACTAAGATACCCATCTTCTTTCCTATTATACATCCATCCTCTCTCACTATTTGTTGACATAATGACTAGAATTAGAAGTGACTACAGATAAAATATAGAATGTTAGACCTTGTGGTATGTACGTCATACTTGTGTACAAATGGTTCATTGAAAGAAAACATAATTATGTGAACAAAAACACTTTGCATGTTTTGTATGTTCTCTATTTTTTGATAAAATTTCCCTTGGACAGAGTTGCTCTTGAACAAAAACTTAACCATTGAATATATATATATATATATATATATATATATATATATATATATATATATATATATTGAAATTGATTGTTAAAACAACCTTATGTTTTTGTTCAAATGATATGCCCTCGTTTTCTAAGAATAAGGGGGGAAGGAGACAACTTACATGTGGGGAAAGTCCAGCTACAAACAGAACAAAATTGATAGGGTTTTATGAAAAAAGAGAGAGAAAGAATTGGATCCAATAGTATTTTGTTGGATTTAGTTTCAAATTGATTCTTAATCGAACTCATTTATAGAAAAGAATCAGGTCCAAATCTATAAAATAAACAAGTCCAAATCCCAATACAAAACAAATCCAAGAAATATGAGGAAAAAATCGTTGGTGTTAGGTGTGGAGCATGAACCTTCCCTTTTCGTATCTTGGTAGGGTTAAAGTTGGTCTTCTCAGTGACGATGAGTGGGCGGTTGATTGATAGTCTGAGTGTTGACGACCTCAATTTGGGATGGAGAAGAAGGCTATTGACTTTAGAGGGAACCAATTAATTTCTGTGTGAAATTTGGGGGAATGAAAAACCTAAGGAGGGAAAAGATAATTTTTCATTGTGGAATTGGGGTGAATGAAAAGTGGAACCGGGGAAAAAGAGGGAAGACAAAATTGCAAGAATGGTCCCTGTGGTATGTCAAAACTAGCAACTTTGGTCCAAAATGGGTTTGGCTCGCAAGGTTGGTCCAATAGTTTCGTTTTGTTACGAGTTTAGTCCAATTTCCTATGAACTTTTTTATAATGACGGATTTGCCCTTATTATTTTATTTTCTATTTTTCTTGTATTACAACAATTAAAAAATAAAACAAAAATAAAATCTCTCTCTCTCTCTCTCGTCAAGAGCTTTTTCTGGGGTTGTTCTTGTCCACCCAACTAGTCCCTCTTTAACCATATCTGCAATCTAAAACATGAACAATCCAATTTTCTACAAACTCAATTTTTTCCATATCACTCAAATTGGAACAAGAACACTCATGAACAAGAAATCTGAAAACGTCCAGAAAACAAAAATGAAAACCAAATCGATTATCGATTTTTGAAAACAAAATCGATGGACAAGAGGGTGGATGTTATTGGTATCTTGATCTGGAAAGTCATCGGTCGGACGTTGGAGTCGCTAGAGCCGGAGTCGCCACCTCTCACCGAAATAGGTTTCCAACGTGGGTTACTGTCTGGGATCTTTGCAACCTTTGTCTTCATCTGTACGGAGGTGACGACGGCCATTTAACAAACCCTAAATCGTCACCAAGAAAAGCTCAAGATCTCCGCCGCCATGCTCCTCCGATTCTTCAGATCTATCTTGGACTCACACTCGAAACACCAAAACCCTCTTTTTCAGCTTCAGATCTTCGCCTCTATGATCCTTCGATTTGAAAACCCTTCGATCTGAAAAACCCTCCCATTTGAAAGCCTTCGTCATGTTGAGCTCGCCATTGCTACCAGAGAAGAACTGATAGAAAAGAAGAATCGAGATCCGAAAGATTTAGAGTTCATGGCTGACGAGACCTAAACATCTAAGGGGTGGCGCCGACGGTGGTCTGATGAACCACAAATCTGTAAACAAAGAACCGGGGTTAGGGTTTCTCCTGATGAAAACTGAAGCAGGGGAGGAAGAGAGATGAGCGGGTGGTGACTCCATCTAGACGGTGGCTACTGTGGCAGAGGGTGGCGGTCCGACGAGAAGATTCCAACTGATCTAATTTTTCCGGCAGCTTGTGTTCTTGTAAAATGAAAATGCGTTAGAGAGAGAAAGAGAAAGAGAGGAATGAGGGATGAGGTGTGTATTTTTTATTTCTCTTTTTTTATTTCTGATTTTTGCAATAAAAAGAAATAAGAAAATAAAACTAAAAAGGGCAAATCCGTCATTATAAAAAAGTTCATAGGAAATTGGACTAAACTCGCAACAAAACGAAACTATTGGACCATCCTTGCGAGCCAAACCCATTTTGGACCAAAGTTGCTAGTTTTGACATACCACAAGGACCATTCTTGCAATTTTGTCAAGAGGGAAATGAAAATCAACGACCGAATGGGTTTGCTTTCTGAAGTTCTATCAACTAGGGATTAAGACCATCATAAATCACTCGCCAATCCCTCGTTAATCTCTCGTTAATCCCTCGCTAAAGGGTACAATTAATAGAATTAATAGGTCAATATTGAAAAAACTCTATCCAAAAAACTTATAAATTAATAGGTCAATATAATAAATCTCTAGTTTAACTAAATCCAAGTTTTTTACGTCAGTTAACTCAATTCAACATAATTTTTTATAATTATAAAATAATAACATAATATTATTTATATATTTTTTAGAACAATGATCCTCACATTCTAAACTGCTTTTAAATAGTATCTACATTTTAAAGAAGACCTGAATTATCAAACATTTAAAAAGATAAAAAAAAATATTTTTTTTTTATTTTAAAAAAATACTATAGTTTGTAAATTATAAAACTAAGTTATAAAAAAATATGGACCAGGTCCATGTTACGTCAATGTGTGAAGATATTGGGCCGCCCGACTATTAACCCATATGATCCTTCTTTAATTATTTCCAATGTTTTAAAACCCGGGTCGACCCGGCCGGTTCAACCGGTTGGACCGTGACCCGGTGTAGAAGGCGGGTCAATTGAGAACGGTTTTTTGTAAAAATACGAACCGGATCGAACCGGCCGGGTTTCTCCTAAACCGCGGTCGAACCGTTATGTCGAACCGGTTAAAACCGGATTGACCCGTTTTAATAGGGTTTGGATAGTTGGATAGAAGTAGCGACCGCCAAAACAACGAATCGTTTGCAGCTTCTTCAATGTTTTTTAATGTTTAAATTTTGTGGACATCAAATTATTGGTTTTATATGTTTATGCATTATGAGGAAAAGTAAAAATATATGAAAATAGAAAAAGACTATAAACCGGGTTAACCCGGCGGTTCAACCGGTTGACCCGTGAACCGGTCATCACATCGGGTCAACTAAAAACCCGGGTTTTAAAACATTGATTATTTCTTTTGGTTTAATAAGTAATTTATAAACCCTAAGTGGATGTTTCTTTAAAAAATTAATGTTGCTATTTAGAAATAGTTAATGTTATTAGCAGTTTCACTGTGTGTCTTCTACTCGATGTAAATGTTTCTTTCATTTGTCCTTGTATTCTAGTTCCAAATATGTGGATATAAAATATCAAAGAAAAATAGGTTTTGTCTCGGTGATAAAAATGATTTGGTCTTTGGCAACAGTAGTTATGTGATATCAAGTTTAATCAACCACCATAGTAGATTTATTTCAGAAAGAATAAGATATCGAACCATAATACTTCATAATACTTGTCGTTTTGCTTTAAATCAAATAAAGACGTCGATAACCATTGTTCTTGTAATCTCATTTCGTAATATATAATGAATGGGAATTAATTAAAATGGTTTGTATCGACTGTTTTAGAGCTATGTTTTTTTCTTTCTTTTAACAAATACGAGTACTCTTGAATCAAACTGTTGGGTATTTAGTTTCTTGATAACTTCACAATTTCATTAGCAAGCTTCTCAGCATCAATGCAAGACGAGCCATTAGAACCAGTCGCCTTTTCCGCAACTTTCTTCCACTCCAAAGCTTTCTTCCTCATTCGTTTACCCTCTACTCCTTCCATTAACTCCTTCACAAGCTTCTCCACTTCATCCCTCTTCACATTCCTGCTAATCTCCATGCCAACTCCCCATTCCTTGCACATTTGTCTGCAATTTGTCTGCTGATCACCGGAAACCGGCCAACATATCATTGGTACACCAGCCGACAAGCTCTCAATGATCGAACCCCACCCACCATGAGTCAAGAACCCACCAACAGACGAGTGGTTCAACACCTCTTCCTGTGAACACCAGCTTGCTACAAAACCTTTACCCTTCATCGCATCCTCGAGTTCTTGAGGCAAAACCACGGGCTTCCCATCAACCAAATCAGTCCGTATTATCCAAAGAAATTCATGTTTACTGTTTACAAGTCCCCAACCAAACTCTAGTAAATCTTGTAGTGACATAACGGCTATACTTCCAAAGTTGACATATACCACAGAATTCGGTTCCTTTGACTGGAGCCACTGTACACATTCAGGTTCTTCCTTCCATAAACTATAGCCATTGCAAAGCGACTTGTTGGTTTCCTTTTCTGTAATTTGATTCAGAAGTAATTCCAGAGGCCCGACAGAGTATACATTAGGAAAGATGGATTTAAGCTCTTTGATGAGACTCGCCTCGAGTTCCTCGAATGTATGGATGATCATATGTGAAACCTTATGAGCTGCTTGAGCGGTTTCCAGGAGGAATTTAAATGCAGGATTATCATGTTTTGTGAATAGTTTAATCTCAGGTAGTTCCTTCAAACGGATACCTTCCATTCCAGGAATCCAATCTATTTCCATGTCAAGATACCCATTAGTCAGATAAATTTCATCTGCAAAAAGAAAAAAAAAAGTTCAAGTTTGTTCAATATTAAAAGACACCAAGATTAATTCATATGGATGTTGGCCTTCAGTTTTTGGAATCAAGGGACAATATTTCAGGAACTTCAGATATATTACGAACAAAAAACAATAATAAATTTTAGTTTGAGCTATCCATCAGCATATATAGGCCTGCTATAACAAGAAGAACTAACCTTTAAGCGGGAGAATTCCTTTCTCCGCCAGAACTTTGACCTGGTAAAACCCCATGAACCCACTGGCAGCCATTGTCCAGAAAAGAATGATGGGGATATTAAGCTTTTCAGCAGCATGAATAGTATTTGTGTAAGTCATGAAACCATCGCAAATAATACAGGTGACTGGAATCTCAAGCCCAGACACAACGTCAAGAAAGGAACCAAGGAAATTGGCTCCAAGGTAGGTCCAGAGTTCAGCCATGGTTTGCGTATGCTCAACACCATCGTCTGTAGCAGAAGAGAGACCATCAGGAACCGTTTTGAATTGAAAACCAGGAGCTTTATCGAGCCCGAGAATCCCATTGGACGCTACGAGGCGCTTCTGATTCGAGTGAGTGTTGATGAAGGTTACATGGAGGCCCTTGTGGTGCAGAATCCTGGCTAGTTTGAGCATACACTTTATGTGGCTTTGTGCTGGAAATGGTACGAACACCACATGAGGCTGCTTCTGACCGATTATGGGCACTGCATCGCCCATCTGTGTGTGTGTGTGTTACTATGTGATATATCGTCTGGTGCTGTTATCTTATATATTGATTTAAATGGTTTTAAGAGGTGCAAATCAACATCAATGGTCCATACATGACAAATGTTTCTGCCCCACCGCCTTTCCTCGTCTTTGAAATAACTTTTAGTCAAATAATATGTCCAGTGTAAATATTCTATTAGATATTATGGGTCATCGTTCATACCCACATTATGGCTGCCCCGTCATCATCTTCTTCCATAACATCTCCATAACATCTCAAGGGGGTGGTGTTCATTTTTGGAAACGAGGTGAGGAAGGAGAAAAGAAAAAAAACAGAGGAAGAAGAAATAAAAACGGGCGTTGAGGGGATGTTACCCTGGCAACGGGAAGCAACGGGGAAACCAGGGGGCAGTGTTGGTGGCGTTATATCCACGTTGAGGCGCCTCCACCTCAGCAAAACGGCTTCGGCCGTTGCCCACACCCATCACTCTTAGGCTGAATTTATTATTTTTATAAGCCGGAACAAAAGTTAACAAGTACATACTTGTATTTATGTTTTCAGAATCATGTTTATCATATCACTGTTCTTATAAATTCTTAAGCTGTAACTAACAGAAAATCATCATTGTTCTTGAAATACATTTTTCTTTTAGGTAAATAATATAATCTATAGTTTTGGTCTCAAAGTGGCGTGCTTAATTTATACATTTTTATTATTATTATTTTGGTTAGAAGAAAATCAAAGATTCAATGAAAGTGACATATAGATGTATCGTGGAATTTGCAATATGCATGGTGGACTTTTCACTTTCAATTGTCTATGAATTTCTCAATTAACTTTAACTTTAAGTGGGGCGTTAACACTAACTTGCTTTGACAATGAAATTTGATAAAAATGATGTTTGGCTTAGCGGTAAAGAGTGATCATCTCATTTGAAAGGTCATGAGTTCGTAGTTAGGAAGATTAGTTTGCCGTTTCAAAAAAAAAAATGAAATTGATAATAAATAAACTCCTAATATTCTAAAATCGTGATTACTATTATATCAAACAAACTTTTTTATTATTTA